AGCCCTTGAGTGTGTCAGACTATCAGGTCCACTTCAGGTCAGCCCTCGAGTGTGTCAGACTATCAGGTCCACTTCAGGTCAGCCCTCGAGTGAGTCAGACTATCAGGTCCACTTCAGCTCAGCCCTCGAGTCTGTCAGACTATCAGGTCCACTTCAGGTCAGCCCTCGAGTCTGTCAGACTATCAGGTCCACTTCAGGTCAGCCCTCGAGTCTGTCAGACTATCAGGTCCACATCAGGTCAGCCCTTGAGTGTGTCAGACTATCAGGTCCACTTCAGGTCAGCCCTTGAGTCTGTCAGACTATCAGGTCCACTTCAGCTCAGCCCTCGAGTGAGTCAGACTATCAGGTCCACTTCAGGTCAGCCCTCGAGTGTGTCAGACTATCAGGTCCACTTCAGGTCAGCCCATGAGTGAGTCAGACTATCAGGTCCACTTCAGGTCAGCCCTTGAGTGTGTCAGACTATCAGGTCCACTTCAGGTCAGCCCTCGAGTGTGTCAGACTATCAGGTCCACTTCAGGTCAGCCCTCGAGTGTGTCAGACTATCAGGTCCACTTCAGGTCAGCCCTTGAGTCTGTCAGACTATCAGGTCCACTTCAGGTCAGCCCTCGAGTGTGTCAGACTATCAGGTCCACTTCAGGTCAGCCCTTGAGTGAGTCAGACTATCAGGTCCACTTCAGGTCAGCCCTTGAGTCTGTCAGACTATCAGGTCCACTTCAGGTCAGCCCTTGAGTGAGTCAGACTATCAGGTCCACTTCAGGTCAGCCCTTGAGTCTGTCAGACAATCAGGTCCACTTCAGCTCAGCCCTCGAGTGTGTCAGACTATCAGGTCCACTTCAGGTCAGCCCTTGAGTCTGTCAGACTATCAGGTCCACTTCAGGTCAGCCCTCGAGTGTGTCAGACTATCAGGTCCACTTCAGGTCAGCCCTCGAGTGAGTCAGACTATCAGGTCCACTTCAGGTCAGCCCTTGAGTCTGTCAGACTATCAGGTCCACTTCAGGTCAGCCCTTGAGTCTGTCAGACTATCAGGTCCACTTCAGGTCAGCCCTTGAGTGAGTCAGACTATCAGGTCCACTTCAGGTCAGCCCTCGAGTGTGTCAGACTATCAGGTCCACTTCAGGTCAGCCCTTGAGTCTGTCAGACTATCAGGTCCACTTCAGCTCAGCCCTCGAGTGTGTCAGACTATCAGGTCCACTTCAGGTCAGCCCTTGAGTGAGTCAGACTATCAGGTCCACTTCAGGTCAGCCCTTGAGTGAGTCAGACTATCAGGTCCACTTCAGGTCAGCCCTTGAGTGAGTCAGACTATCAGGTCCACTTCAGGTCAGCCCTTGAGTCTGTCAGACTATCAGGTCCACTTCAGGTCAGCCCTTGAGTGAGTCAGACTATCAGGTCCACTTCAGGTCAGCCCTTGAGTCTGTCAGACTATCAGGTCCACTTCAGGTCAGCCCTCGAGTGAGTCAGACTATCAGGTCTACTTCATGTCAGCCCTTGAGTGAGACAGACTATCAGGTCCACTTCACGTCAGCCCTCGAGTGTGTCAGACTATCAGGTCCACTTCAGGTCAGCCCTCGAGTGTGTCAGACTATCAGGTCCACTTCAGGTCAGCCCTCGAGTGTGTCAGACTATCAGGTCCACTTCAGGTCAGCCCTCGAGTGTGTCAGACTATCAGGTCCACTTCAGGTCAGCCCTCGAGTGTGTCAGACTATCAGGTCCACTTCAGGTCAGCCCTCGAGTGTGTCAGACTATCAGGTCCACTTCAGGTCAGCCCTCGAGTGTGTCAGACTATCAGGTCCACTTCAGGTCAGCCCTCGAGTGTGTCAGACTATCAGGTCCACTTCAGGTCAGCCCTTGAGTCTGTCAGACTATCAGGTCCACTTCAGGTTAGCCCTCGAGTGAGTCAGACTATCAGGTCCACTTCAGGTCAGCCCTCGAGTCTGTCAGACTATCAGGTCCACTTCAGGTCAGCCCTCGAGTGTGTCAGACTATCAGGTCCACTTCAGGTCAGCCCTCGAGTGTGTCAGGACTATCAGGTCCACTTCAGGTCAGCCCTCGAGTGTGTCAGACTATCAGGTCCACTTCAGGTCAGCCCTCGAGTGTGTCAGACTATCAGGTCCACTTCAGGTCAGCCCTCGAGTCTGTCAGACTATCAGGTCCACTTCAGGTCAGCCCTTGAGTGAGACAGACTATCAGGTCCACTTCAGGTCAGCCCTCGAGTGTGTCAGACTATCAGGTCCACTTCAGGTCAGCCCTCGAGTGTGTCAGACTATCAGGTCCACTTCAGGTCAGCCCTCGAGTGTGTCAGACTATCAGGTCCACTTCAGGTCAGCCCTTGAGTGTGTCAGACTATCAGGTCCACTTCAGGTTAGCCCTCGAGTGAGTCAGACTATCAGGTCCACTTCAGGTCAGCCCTTGAGTGTGTCAGACTATCAGGTCCACTTCAGGTTAGCCCTCGAGTCTGTCAGACTATCAGGTCCACTTCAGGTCAGCCCTCGAGTGAGTCAGACTATCAGGTCCACTTCAGGTCAGCCCTCGAGTCTGTCAGACTATCAGGTCCACTTCAGGTCAGCCCTTGAGTGAGACAGACTATCAGGTCCACTTCAGGTCAGCCCTCGAGTGAGTCAGACTATCAGGTCCACTTCAGGTCAGCCCTCGAGTCTGTCAGACTATCAGGTCCACTTCAGGTCAGCCCTTGAGTCTGTCAGACTATCAGGTCCACTTCAGGTCAGCCCTTGAGTGTGTCAGACTATCAGGTCCACTTCAGGTCAGCCCTCGAGTCTGTCAGACTATCAGGTCCACTTCAGGTCAGCCCTCGAGTGAGTCAGACTATCAGGTCCACTTCAGGTCAGCCCTTGAGTGTGTCAGACTATCAGGTCCACTTCAGGTTAGCCCTCGAGTCTGTCAGACTATCAGGTCCACTTCAGGTCAGCCCTCGAGTCTGTCAGACTATCAGGTCCACTTCAGGTCAGCCCTCGAGTCTGTCAGACTATCAGGTCCACTTCAGGTCAGCCCTCGAGTGTGTCAGACTATCAGGTCCACTTCAGGTCAGCCCTCGAGTGAGTCAGACTATCAGGTCCACTTCAGGTCAGCCCTCGAGTGTGTCAGACTATCAGGTCCACTTCAGGTCAGCCCTCGAGTGTGTCAGACTATCAGGTCCACTTCAGGTCAGCCCCCGAGTGTGTCAGACTATCAGGTCCCACTTCAGGTCAGCCCTCGAGTGAGACAGACTATCAGGTCCACTTCAGGTCAGCCCCCGAGTGTGTCAGACTATCAGGTCCACTTCAGGTCAGCCCTCGAGTGTGTCAGACTATCAGGTCCACTTCAGGTCAGCCCCCGAGTGTGTCAGACTATCAGGTCCACTTCAGGTCAGCCCTCGAGTCTGTCAGACTATCAGGTCCACTTCAGGTCAGCCCTTGAGTGTGTCAGACTATCAGGTCCACTTCAGGTCAGCCCTCGAGTGAGTCAGACTATCAGGTCCACTTCAGGTCAGCCCTCGAGTGTGTCAGACTATCAGGTCCACTTCAGGTCAGCCCTTGAGTGTGTCAGACTATCAGGTCCACTTCAGGTCAGCCCTTGAGTGTGTCAGACTATCAGGTCCACTTCAGGTCAGCCCTCGAGTCTGTCAGACTATCAGGTCCACTTCAGGTCAGCCCTTGAGTCTGTCAGACTATCAGGTCCACTTCAGGTCAGCCCTCGAGTGTGTCAGACTATCAGGTCCACTTCAGGTCAGCCCTTGAGTCTGTCAGACTAGTTGTTTCAGAGGTTAATTCAAGACGTGTTATTTTTACATACTAACGTAATGAGCATCAGGTCAACGTACCCATTTATTTTGTCTCACAGATGGGATGGAGATGTGAACGATGCAGCATGTCACCACTCAGTGATATTTTAAAACAGTATGGACTCCATCAGGGAACCTTTGGACAGACACGTGCCCTGCGTTCGTAGACTGGCCTGCGCTCTCACTTATCAAGATAAAAGTTAAAATAATCGTCTGTTCCTTTTATTCTAGGACCCATGTGCCACTTTATATGAATCTCTGAGCATGAGGTGGGGTTACAAAGAAGACATGACCTGTTGACTTTCAACTGACAGATTGATTTTGAGTAGTTTGTCCATTTTGAAGATGTTGACATAATCTACAGATAGAAAGGTTGAATATCGGTTAATAACCTGTTGACAGTCAACAGACACTTTTTGTCAAATCTATAGATCAACCCTTGAGATGCAGCTTATATTCTACTGGCAGTGAAAGGCGTGTCACTTGTCTGTTGAAACAGTGTTGTTGAAGGTCAACTGATGACTTGTAGAGTGTTAACTATGGACTATCAAAATAAAGTGTTACCCGGGTCATTTTTTTTATAGGGTGCCATTTGGACTTCACAAGTTGGGTGAAATAAATAGTTGATTTACCTACTTTTTAATGTTCTATTCTATAAAGGACATATCTAATTTGCTAAAAAACATTTTGGTCAAGCTCAGGCACCTAAATCTTTATATATATAGATATATTAACAACACGTGACACCCGGGATATGTCCACCCTGTTAAGGACATACACATAACTACTTAAATGAGTTTTCAGTGCATTCTTACAATTAAAGTGACTTTTTAACAAGAGTTGTATGTCCCTAACTCTAATTAGATATATATTTCATACCTAATTAGTTTTAAGTAGTATATATTGAGAAAAACAAGTGTAGATTATGACAACGTGGCATATTTTTCCACTGTTTTCCATGAGAAAACTTAAATACAATAAGTATTACTAAAAGTTTCTAGAATATATAATCAACCTCTCTCATTTCTTTATAAAAGTACAAATATACACTTGATATTTGATATTTTCATTAAACTATGCTAGAAAACTACCAACATAACAGGGTGGACATACGTCTAACAGGGTGGACACCAGTGGAAGTCCGCCAGGGCCTTCAGGACCTTCTCTCCAGGCCCTATCATTTTAAAGTGTAATTTTTGGTTAAAATATTACAGTATTAATTCTATTGTTAAAACAATCTTTTATATTAAATTATTAAAATTGTTTGAATATATCAAATCGTTTTGGTTTGATATACCCACTATTTGGAGCTGGAGCTGCAACTTTGTGTATCTGCCTTTGCTTCTTCATAAGGCTATCTCCGTCCCAAAGGTCTGCTGTGTCTGTGGTTGCAGGGTTTTCTTATAGAATGTGTACTTTAGAGTAGCAACAAATATTAACAGAATTAAAAAAATATATCAGAATTTGATTTGGGGTCTTTGGTACGCCCCTAGGACCTGTGAGCAAGTCTGTGTGATGTCATAATATTTTCCTGCTGTGGGGCACGTACAGTAGGCTATTGCCCTACGTTGGAGACTGAGGAAAATGGCAGCTAATGAAGAAGACAGTAATTTGCTTCATAATTCATTTATTCAGCAGAATTTCTAATAAAAAAAATCACGGAAAAAGAAAGGCCAACACCAAAACTTGGAGGGCTCAAACAGGTAGGCAAAGGCTTTATGAGGCACTTTGCTGAGGCCAACTATAATCATGCTCGTTTTTTGCCACCACCAGTGGCTTGTGGAACACCACTGGGTTTGGTAGCCTGAACACCTTAACCAAGAGCTCTGATCATCGTGCATAACTTCGAGTACATTTTTAGTTTACATAAAGTTATTTTCTAGGTACTTCCATGTAAGCTTCTCAAGTTGGACGCTCTGAGCGCTTGTTGAGTGCCTTTGGCTCTGGTATAAGACAGATAAGTTGTTCCTCTGCATACCAGCTGACATCTTCACGTGGTCTTGGCCATAAGTATTTGTTTACTCCATTTCTATGCATGCACTTCACTTGAATGCTATCGCCCTCCACGTCCATGATGATGCCAGGGTACACATCATCGTCATACTTAATGACGCACCACCCTCCAATGTGTGTGCTGTCAACTGCCGCTGGTCGCCATGGGGTCTCTTCATTCTGATTTGGGGGGGTCACAGGAACTCCATTCACAGTAGCTACTTTCAGGTCGAAGCAGGCACAATCCAGTGGACCATCCTGCCTCTGACAGAAACAACTGATGTCCCTGTACTTGATATGCCCAGGTAAGACGCTGATCACCTGGTGCATCCTCATTGTGCCCTTAATAGGTGTCAGAGCAGGGACCTGAGGTGAAAAGAGAGGATATACAGTAGTATGAGATATAATATTCAAAATATTTGGCCAATAACAATAACTATCAACGTATAGAGGCAGTGTGAGAAAAAGTTTTTAGAGAGTACTTGTCCATGGACAAGTGAGTTTGGTAATGTACTTGTCCGAATACATTTTTCACTTGTCCAGAATGGACAAAAATTGGGGCCACTGGAATCTTCTTCTTCGTCATCGTATTTTACATTTTCCCACGGTTTTTACGACACCGCTAACGTAAGTGAGCGGTGAGATTTTACTGCATCACACAAAGGGTTGGGTATCGTTTGGATTTGAACGATTCTGGTTCTGCTTTTTGATTCCGGTTATTTTCGGTTCTCAATTCCGGTTCTTTGAGAGGGTCAAAATAAGTCAAACTGGGAGAAAAATATATTTATGAAAAGATTAAGTCAAATCTGTATTCCTATTTACAAATCACTTCATACTGTTGAATTTCTTACGGTTATTGAATACAATTATATAAAAATAATCTCTGCATTGTTTAGTTAGTTCTGGTGCAGTTTGAGAATGTACAATTGGCCCAGTCTCCTCTGATGTTACACTGCAACCTGCCTGTGAGACAAAGTCCAACCACACATGTCCAACACATAGGACATAACCTAATAATAATAATAATAATGACACATTAGATGTATAGCCTATAGGCCTAGCGCTTTTCTACAACTCAAATACGCTTACACATGTCCTGCAATACACATGCTGCAGCTGCCCAGCTGCTCACTGTTTGTAAAAGTAAATAAATAGTATTTTCATTTCAATAATGTACCTTCTATACCCTGCTTCATAAACAATACTGACATCCAGTGGCATGCACAGACATTTATAGGGGCAGGTGCTCAAGAGAAAAAAAAGGGGCACCTTCTGAGTCGTTGTGGCGGTCGCGCCGAAATTGTGCACTCCGAAATTGTGCGCAAAAATTTGCCGGATAATGGCGGATTTTGTTACGTTTCTTTTTGGTTTTTGGTTACTTTATTTCGGGGTTAGGGTTATGTTATTTAATTCTTATTTTTACCTGATTTTACTGATTTATTATCAACATTTTTATTATTTTAACATTTATTTTTATTATTCTAAATGACTTAGGGGGGTCCAATCTGAAGCTAGGGGGGATGAAACCCCCCCCCCCCCCCCCCCCCCCCCCCGAGATTGACGCCTCTGATGGAACCGCCGGCTGCCTTAGTAGTGTGAGATTTATTAAAGGCACATCTTGTATGTCGTAATTGCATATATATTTATTTCAATAACCATATGCTGTCTGATGCAGATGCCTATCTAAAACAAATCAAATAGTAGGCTTACTAGCTTCTACACGCTGAAGCAACTGTAGTCAGGGATGCAAACTCATCAGGTATGAAAAAGGTGACAAGGATCCGAGCCCCCGACCCCACGGAATATCGGCTTTAAAATGAGGAATAACAGGATTTTAGCAGTCAGAACAACTAAAGCAGCAGGTAATAATAACAGAAACGCCAAAGAGTCACATCTAATAGAAATATATAAAAGCATTTATTTTAATTGTGTAGCAGTCAGTTTATAATTTTGGCAGCACTGTTGAGCATTTTGAAAATGTATTTTCATGCCTCTTAGTATTTTTATAATACTTTTCTACTTTCACTTGAGGAACATTTTGAATGCAGGATTTTTACTGTAACAGAGTATTCCTACACTGTGGTACTTCTACTTTTACTCAAGTACAAGATCTGAGTACTTCTACTTTTATTAAGTACAAGATCTGAGTATTTCTACTAAAGTACAAGATCTGAATACTTCTACTTTTACTCAAGTACAAGATCTGAGTACTTCTACTACTAACAGCTGTTCACCAGCGGTGCAGTCTGTGCCACAGTGACTCCGCACAGTTAACGAACGCACCGTAGATAATGTAGCTGACCCCCATCCCGGAGCAGCAGAGTTCAGCCGGCCCGACAGGCAAGAAGACTCGAGCACACAGCTCGCGCTTCATATATTAAAAAATAACACCATGCGCACATAACAGCTCGCGACCGCAGATTATTTCGGCGATTAGATAAAATGTAAATTATATTTGACGCAACTTTAGTTACATTTCCATGACTTTTCCAAAACTTTGGGAAAAATATTGTTTTCCATAACTTTTCCAGGGCCTGGAATTTGCATTTTGAATTTCCATGACTTTTCCAGGTTTTGAATGACCGTACGGTACGAACCCTGTATAGTTTAGTTTGGCATCTGATTTAGGGGATTAAACAATACACTCGTTGTATTTGTTACCTGTTGGTTACTGACTTGGTCGTCACTAGGGCACTTTTAATCGTGTTGCTGCGTGCTGCTGCACCACACACCCGCCGTGGCCTGTCTGACTGAGTGACTGACTTAGTGATGTGTCGGTCGCGAACGAGCCGGCGCAAAGAGCCGGCTCTTTTAAGTGAACGACGGGAGCCGGCTCTCGCCCGCGAACGAGCCATTTTTGCGGAGGGATCTAGATCGGCATGAAGGCACATTTGCAATGTGCACATTATCCCACTTATTACATGGCCACATTCTCAACAAAGTAACGACATGACTCCCAATAGTAATGGAAATGCTTTTATGGATTTAGAAAATGATTTTATTGACTTAAAAAATAGTTATATGTATTGATTTAAATTGACATGCATCCGCTAAGAAAAGTAGTCCGTTGTTACTGTTTGAACTAACGTAGCAACGGCAGGAACTGCTTCGATAGTGTTTTTGATTACAGATTTGAAAACATCGTTGCTTGCTTTAACAGTAGCACACTTCATGATGTCAGACCTTGGGAAGTATCTAGATATCCCTGCCCTAATGCCAGAGGAACTGCACACTGAATATGTGTCGCCGTTTGATGTCTATGTCTGGACCGCTGCGTAACAAGGAGGGTTTCTGCCCCGTTACTTCTCTTCTTACTTCTATAAGAATAAAACACGGAGGACGGAGATCTCTTTTCCTCCCCCTCTACAGACCGCCCAGCAGCTGATCTCAGAGCACGCTCCCCTCTCCTGCAGGGGGGCGTGGTCAGCTGCAGCTCACAGAATCAGCCCCTGCAAAAACAGCGCTGGATGGAGCAAATAGAGCGAAATGAGGCATGGCTAAAATACAGGATCTTTTTGGTATTTTGAAAAAAAACCTATATTTATATACTTTATATAGGTCGATACAGTAGCCCCTTTTTTTAAATAGTTTTTATAGGTGTTGCTATCTGTTTTGTGTAGTGTGGTTCTACAAGCAAGTCAATGCATTCATTGGGTGGTATCAGAGATTTGCACGGGTCTGTAAATGCAATGAAAACAATTGGCCACAGCAAATCATTTATATTAAACTTGTAATTTTTACTTTTGAATACTTCAGTACAAAGGATGTATTGAATAATTTAAGTGATATATGTGTACAAATATAAATCATTAGTCAAAACAGGGCTACATTTGATTTAATTAAAAGGTATAATAAGTGGTAAACTGAAGAGCCGTTTGGGAGCCGAAAGAGCCGGCTCTTCTTGGTGAGCCGAGCCAAATGATCCGGCTCACCAAGAAGAGCCGGAATTCCCATCACTAGACTGACTGTCAGCTCTGCGCGCTCACGTTGAGAGCAGGGAAGGGAGGGGCTGCAGCCAGGAGTACGGGAGTGCCGCGGGGCACGCGTGGGGATGTCTGACAAAATTACAACGCGCATTTGGGGCATTGTTGTATATATTAGAAGCTTTTAATCCAGAATTGATCGATGTTACCATGAGCCACATACAGTACACTGTAATTTTTTTTTTAAACTGTAAAAAACGAACTTTCAAAAGGGCACATTGCTGTCCAGAGGGCAAAACGGGCAGGTGCTCAAGCACTACCTAGAGTCTATGTGTGCACGTCTCTGCTGACATCCCTGTGCTCCTCTGAGTCTGGGGGTCCGGGGATGTGAGGACAGCGCGAGGACACAGACAGGGAGGTTGCTTTACTTCATAAAAGGAAATGGTGGTCAATATTAACAACATAGGAGTTAAAACGCTTAATAACCTTCATTATGCGTTAGAGAAAGAACATAAGAAAGTTTGACAAAGATGAGGCTGTTAATCGGGCAGCGGATCCGCTGTGTGTAGAAAGAGAGAGAGACGCTGAGCTGCACCGTGCAGCGATCAGCTGATACGGAGCATAGAGAGAGCTGCAGTCCGCGGGGCTCGGCCTTGCCTCCTGTCCTCACAACTCTTATTAATCCCGGTACCGGACAATTGATATTTGTTCCTAATCGGAACCGTGTTTTGCTTCCCAACCCTGCCACTGTGCTACACTTCCCGCCCCGCCCCGTCTAACTGTACAGAAAGCGGCGAGATGCATTTCCTTAGGAATCGACAAGCAGAATCTAAACGAACAATGGCGGACACGTACAATTTGCGATTGAGTTCTGCCTTTTGTAAACTGAATGTATCAATAATTTGTCAATAAATCAGGCCGAAAAACGTCACTTGTCCGCCGGACAAGTCAATTGAAAGATCTACTTGTCCGATATTGTAAATAACACGTCCCGGACGGTGGGACGTGTACTTTTTCGCACACTGAGAGGGCCTCAAAATACTTGACTACTGTGAATGTTTTTGCAGGGGTGCGGGGCATCTTTACCTCTGTTTTTGCTTCAACTTCCTCTTCACTGACAAAGAAGAGCTCCACTGTTGATTCCAGTCTCTTGAGTTTTTTGAAAAGAGTGATGGCATCTGGAACATCTTCCCCCAAGCGCACAATTCGGTCCGCTGACCGCTTCAATGTCCCTCCGATGCCATCTGGAGCTCCTTTGCCATGGCTGGCCTCAAAGAAATTCCAGGTCAGTTCTTTGAAACCAAGCCTGAATGGCTCAGTGGAGAGAAAGTAAAAGTTTCCCTTTTGCTTGTACTGGGTTGCCGGGCCATCACTGTAGAAGTGAAGCCTTTCCACCTTTGGACACTTGGTCTTCACCATCTCCAGGACAGGCTCCAGGTGGGCCCAGATCGCTGGTGGGTCATGTCGTCGTGAGGATGAGATTGAACAGAATGACAGTGGTGTCTGTTCAGTGGTGTACAGTACACCAGTGTGCAGCGTTGCCTGTTGATGGGACCCTCCAAAATGCACAGACTGGATCTCGTTGTGATATTTGCAAGAGTAATTTTCGCTGAAATCGATGTGGATTAAGCACTCGTTGGCTTGGAGGCTTTCCCGTAGCTGTCTGTAAGCACTGTATTGCCACCTGATGTTAAAAAGGTGCTTACGGAATTTGAATAGATTCTCTTGAAATTTGCTGACCAGGTCTGATTCAGTGCTCTGGACCTCGTTTTTAAGCGTAATGGTCTCCCTCTCTTCCTCACCTGTCCTTTCAGTAGACCATTGTACAACTTGTACAATTTCCTCTGTGGCTGATTTCAGGGTTGGGTGAGTGGTGAGGCGGCACTCTACACAATCACCATAGGCGCAAGCTTTCATTTCTGTGGCACAGACAGTGCGGTCAACCATCTCCTCAATATTATTGGAGACGACAATCCCATGGCTGTAGAGGGTGTCAGCCATGAACTGGAGGTTTTCATGGGTTTTACACTGGCACGTGGCCCGATCAGCATCAGTAGGGGCCACGACCCAAAATAGCCGACATGCACAAAAAAGACAGTATGACACGTTGTCTGAGTTTTCGGATCCAAATTTCCTGTGAAGGTTCTTGAGTGTGTCAGAAAGCAGTCGCTTCTGCATCTTCTTCTTCCTCACTGTGATGGTCTGCTTGCGCCCAGTTGTCATACGACTAACGTCATCACGAAGAAAGAAGGTATGGATACTGGCTTTACTTTCTAGACTGCTTGAACTCTTCTTCCTCTGAAAAGTATTAAGGTCTGCATCCCTGTCCAACATCCCCCTCTTCTTGGAGAATCCAAGAGCCCTGAATGCAAATGACTGCCATTCCTATACAAATGCATGCCATTACTTTAAGTACTATACCTATAATCCTTGTGTACATAATATACTAGATAATATACCCATCAGTGTTTCCCTAGGATTTTTTGCAGCAGTTTGTGTTGTGCATATAGATCTAATGGTGGTGATCATTTATTATATTATAAAAACATTATTATAATGTTATAATAGTAATATAATAATATAACAATAAATAATATAATATTAATATAATATTAACAAATGTTGTAATAAGTAAACAATACTTACATGTCCACCCTGTTAGGATGTTGTCCACCCTGTTAGTTGAATAAGCCTAACAGGGTGGACACTAACAGGGTGGACATTTTGAGCAAAAGTTAGCCTTTACCCTGCCTGTGTTAGCATATTTGCTAGCATGACCTTGGATACTTTATGAGGAATCAATCACTTTTTAAAGGAACTTTTTAAAATAATAGAATTCGATTAATATCCTTCATACTTAGGCCTAACAGGTTGGACATGTTATGTTCAAACACATCAAACAAAATTGACAGAAACATCCAAATCAGTTGTAAGAGCAGTAGAAACCCACACAGCTTACCTCAGTTGAATTTCCCGCCTCTGGTGTCATTTAATTTCATAGGTGTGATGTCACTGAGAAATATGTATTTTTCTTAAAGGGACAGATACACAGCTCAACAGGGTGGACAGCGACCCTCGGGGACAAACATTAAACCTTATTTTTATATATATTTTTTTTACAATTTGAATAAAAACATTATTTGATTAGATAGATTTTGACAAGTTAAATAAAATAATAATAACATATTTATAAATTAATTTTGTTTTTAATAGCTATATTTTAGATCTAAGTTGAATGACCAGCAGTGGGGACATGGAAAAACTCCTCGATATCCCTTTAACCAATGCTTTTAAAATGAAAAAAAAACTTAGATGTGCATATCATTGTATTAATAATAAATTAACAATTTAACACACATTAAAAACAAAATGTAATTAGTATTTGTCCAGATTTAGACAAAAAACAACATATTTTGTACTGGGGACACCAAAGGCACCACATTAAAAAAATGACCCACTTTCACGCCTCAAACTGAGGACACTTGTCTCAATAGCATGTTTTAAGTTGAAGTTGTCTGAGCTCCTTCCCTCCAGCTGCTCTGGCTGTGATAAGCAGCGCCTTTCTGTCCTGATGGGCTCAATGTAGAGACTGCTTCTCCTCTTTTGTTTTCTTAGCTGTGTTCTCTGTATTTTACATGTCTGTGTTCTGTGTCACGTTGCTGCCTTCTTGGCCAGGTCAGCTTTGAGATGAGATTTTATCTCAATGCTTTTATCTGGTTAAATAAAGGTTAAATACTAAATAAATAAAAGTCTGAAGACCTCAGGTTGCGGGGTGGGTCATGTGGGAAGAACAGCGAGCCTTCCAGCAGCTAGCACCATTAGCCTGTAGAAACCGGACCTCGAGCCTCAGCAGCTGGATGGAAAACAGCCCAGTTGAGATGGCAGGACTGAGGGAGGGGTCGTGGATGGTCCAGGCAGCGGGGCAGAGAGGAGCCCAGTCGGGGTATTCAGGAGCGGGGATTCCACGGAGAGCAGAGCACGACGGTGAGCTCGTGTTGCTAACGGCAGGACGGCAGAGGCTAGGAGCTAAACAGCAGCCACACATAATCGGCTGAGCAACGGAGACCGCAGAAACACAAAACCAGAGCAGAACTATCTTTTCTCTGTGTCTGTGAAAAAGAACTGACGGCAGGGAGTGAGAGACACGAGGAATAATCGTTGGCAAGAAGAGCGGCGAAAAACACGCCAGCGTCCTCTCTAGCCAACTTCCAGATTCACCATTGCCATTCAAGTTATCTGCTTTTCATCAGCAAGCTCTCCTATACTTGAAACTCATAGACAAACATAACTTTACAACACATACTACTCCAATTTGGAACAATAGATATATTCTAATTAATAAAATTATTATTTTACAAGGAATGGATGGAGAAAGGAATCTGGTGAATCTTTCATTTGGTGGATCACTGTGTGATTTATTAACACATGACGCATTTATTAGGAGATGTAATTTAGTGTGTATTATTGATTATTGAAGTAACCTGTGTTCCTAGTGTCCAGACGTGAGTTTGCTTAAATATGTGTGTGTACTTAATTACTTTGTATTAAATAGTAGCAGTCTGTATAACAAGAAGCTGGAAATATGAGAAGTGAAACGTTTGTATTAAGAGTAGTGGAGATGTGAGAGATGAGATATCCTTATTTGGACACAGCGTGGCAAACATCTGGAAGGCAGCAGAGTAAAATGAGTGTGCGTTAAACATGCTTAGGGAAATGAGTGTGCGTTCTGTCAAAGAGTTCTTTATATATGTTTTCTGTAAAGTTTTACTATTTCTCGCATTGCTGTAGGAATATTTTCTTCGTTATTATTGATATTAAAGTAACTTACATGTATTAGCCAACTATAAACAACTATATCTTAGACATATCTTAAAAATTCCAAGGGTGTGTGGAGCTGTGTGTATTGAACTGATGGGGGAGGGGGCCGGAGAGAGGGAAGTCTATGCAGAAAATGTGTGTGTGTGTGCAGGCTGCAGGAATGCGAGACAACGAACACCAGATGTGTTTGTTTTGCCTCAAACTTAAGAGACTCTTGTTTCCGGGTCACCTCGGCTGGCTCGCGCTGATTCGCTGCGACAGCCCATCGTTTTTGTATCTCCCAATGGATGGCCGCTGTGGGGGGAGCATCAGACACAACTCCTCCCGTTGGGATTGCATGTAGCCCTGTTGTGTCTTGGTGTCCGGCCTCTTTTTCCTCCTGCTGCCAAGATAGTAAGATCTCCCAGCACTAGGACCAGAGCAGGCGTACTCCTTATTTTGTATTGTTTGTTTACCATTAAAACAGATTATTGTTTATCCTGGTGTTTCGAATTCCTTCTTTTACAATTTGACCAGCTCATCAAGGGACGCGCGGAGCCGAGGTGGGCTTCAGACCACCGTCCTCAGTGCTCCAACAGTACTGACAGGCAGTATAAGGGTTTTAAAGCAATCCCTCAAGCAATGATTGTTTGAATGAAAGTCTTTTATATTCTGTGGTTATGTCGGAGGAGAATCTCGGACTAGGCTAGTCGAAAAAGTCCGGACCTCCTTCTCAACATTATAACTTATTAACTTTCTTCGTGATTATACAATTCTAATGGGTTCTGAAGAAATCGCTGGAGGCAGTCAGAGTTTGTTGCAAAAAGAACTTTACTTCATCAACGACAAAAACAAAGTCCGAGCAGACCCGGGATCGTACTGTTGAACAAACGTTGTACTCGCACCTTTATAGCGAGCCTTCTTGTCCCTTATTGGTCAACCTTTGTGAAGGACCTCCCAGTCTTTGTGGTCATTGTGTGTCTTTGTGGTCATTGTGTGTCTTTGTGGTCATTGTGTGTGTCTTTGTGGTCATTGTGTGTCTTTGTGGTTGTTTTGTGTCCTGTCTACGTCATTGTGTGTCTTTGTGGTCATTGTGTGTGTCTTTGTGGTCATTGTGTGTGTCTTTGTGGTCATTGTGTGTCTTTGTGGTCATTGTAGGGATGTAACGATATACCGAATATCGCGGTAAATAAACGTCCCAATACCGTCGTGAGACTGACAAAATCTACCACGATTTTTTTTTTTTATTAATTTTTTTTAAACACTTTTTTTGGTTTTAAACCTTTATTTAACCAGGTGGTCCCATTGAGATCATCGATCTCTTTTTCAAGAGACCTGTCCAACATGGCAGCAAGTGGGTTACAACATGAACATAAAACAACAGAACACAAAAGGACATCGTATTTACAGGGCTACATTTACACACCTAGAGACATTGACAAGTACCAACAGTATATTTATATCTCTGTCAATAAGCCTCACCTTCTTGGCAACAACTGTATTGTTTTTGAAGTGGTGGAGAGACAATGCACAGTTTGACCCACTGCTGTCACCCATGGCCAAAGCATATCTCTCCGTCCCACTGAGGTGGCGTTAGACTTTTTCGCTGTCCGTCATTTTGACAGACAGGATCGGAAAATATCCGTCATAATCCCTTATTTACCCGTTGGGTCTGAACAGAGAGAGAGAGCACGCTCGTGTACTGTCAACGGGGGGGGGGGGGGGGCGGTGTTATGCTGTGTGTGCATGCACCTCGCGGGAGCGCGCACAGCGTAAAGCAAAACCTTCCAGACATGTGTTGATCTTTACGGCAAAGTACGGTTTGGAAGCTATATCATTTCCTTTTGGATGGCATGCATAACACGGCATAACACCAGAGCCTCGCTGCGGGGAAACGTTGGCGCTGTTCCGAGTTTGTTCTAATCTGTCAAAATGACAGACTGCTTTCAGATTTTTCCGTCATTGTTAAATAAAAATATTCGGTTAACGCGACCACTGCTGTCCCAGCAACATCAGTACCAAGCGAGAGAGTTGTTTCCAGAGCAGGGGATATTGTAAACGCCCAAACATCCCAGCTTATAAATACCTGGAAATGTGGACATGCTCATATTCCTAAGAACCTGTCTGATGATGCTGAGTGAGTGACTTAGTGAGTTTGAGTTGAGTTACTTGAAAAACTAAAGTGAAACTTGATTTATTTTATTGCAGGGTCTGATTATTAAATGTTTATTTGTGAGATGCAGCGGCACAAAGAAAATGCCTACTTTGTTTGGTAGTACTATAGGTACAAAAACACTGGTTTTCTTGTTCCAGTCTGTTACTGTCACTTTGACACTTTAAAATCCTGCTATCCTACTAACATGCTGTACACATCAGATGTATTATTTAATAAAGAAACTTTTTCGAGTAAAAAAAATTGTTATTGAAATTTTTTTTTTTTTTTTTTCTTAAATTTTTTTTTTCTTTATTATTCAATATCGCGATATTATCGTACCGTGAGTATTTGGTATCGTTTCATCCCTAGGTCATTGTGTGTCTTTGTGGTCATTGTGTGTGTCTTTGTGGTCATTGTGTGTGTTGTTTTGTGTCTTTGTGGTCATTGTGTGTGTTTGTTTTGTGTCTTTGTGGTCATTGTGTGTGTCTTTGTGGTCATTGTGTGTGTCTTTGTGGTCATTGTGTGTGTTGTTTTGTGTCTTTGTGGTCATTGTGTGTGTTGTTTTGTGTCTTTGTGGTCATTGTGTGTGTCTTTGTGGTCATTGTGTGTGTCTTTGTGGTCATTGTGTGTGTTGTTTTGTGTCTTTGTGGTCATTGTGTGTGTTGTTTTGTGTCTTTGTGGTCATTGTGTGTGTCTTTGTGGTCATTGTGTGTGTTGTTTTGTGTCTTTGTGGTCATTGTGTGTGTCTTTGTGGTTGTTTTGTGTCCTGTCTACGTCATTGTGTGTCTCTATATGTTTGGTGTCTCATGTTGAGGGCCTTGAATATAACAGGAAATATTAAACACACAAACATCTTTGTGACTTTCCGAATAGGAGTGTGAGATGTTTTTTATACAAAGTGTCCTCTGTCCCTCCTGCAGATGTTCAGCCCAGGTACTTTGGGATGCAGCCCTCCACCTCCACCAGCTCGGGCCACTCGTCGTATGTATTTGTCTCTTTATTGCTCTTTGAGTGCTGAAACAAACAAAGAGACAAACGTCAACCAGGAGACAGGAAACACTGGAATATCAGTTGATAAAAAAAGCAGCGTTTACGGCGCGTATTAGGCCCTGAAACACCGGGCCCATTTCGGCCGTCGATAGATGTCTGGCCATCGATAGATACATCGATAGATGTCTGGCCGTCGATAGATGTCTGGCCGTCGATAGATACATCGATAGATGTCTGGCCGTCGATAGATACATCGATAGATGTCTGGCCGTCGATAGATACATCGATAGATGTCTGGCCGTCGATAGATACATCGATAGATGTCTGGCCGTCGATAGATACATCGATAGATGTCTGGCCGTTGATAGATACATCGATAGATGTCTGGCCGTCGCCCTACTCAGATTGGTGTGTCCCGCACCGTCGTGTTTTTCCGACCGTGCCGACACCTTCCGCTGCCGATTGAACATGTTGAATCGGAAGCGGAGGCTGTCGGCAAAATAAATCACTCTGGTTGGCTGTTCAGCTTAGCGAATCAGTGCATGAGAAGCGAAATACGCAAACAAACGATTACCGCACTAAACATGTTTTCGATTATAACTCGTTATGTGAAACCGTCTGATGGACGAGAGGGAGAATGGAACGCACGATATTTGTTGTTTGTTTATATCACGCAGTCTGTCTTCCGGTTGCCTCTTTTGAATGACGAATACACACTACCGCCGCCTGCTGGTAAGGAGAGTTATTGCCACTCACGCATGCAGTTCCTACGTGCGTCTTGGCCGTCGGCTGAAGTCTTTGCGGTGTGTTCCAGTGCGACACATGGCCGAGACGCAGAGACGTGAGGCGACGCCACAGTCGGTCCGTCTGGACGTGTTCTTTGAGGTCAGCTTGGTGTGCGGGCCTTTAGGGTTGGCACCAGGGGAATGTAAGGGATAACGAGCAGCGGGTAATAACAGTAACAGTGATAATGAGATAGTGACCCCCCCCGTATGACACCTGTTGTACACGGTCCGTCAGATAAATGTGTCCCCAGGGATACAGAAACCATTTAAGGGTCGACGTGTGGAACGAAACTGAGTCTCTTGTAAAAATAGGAGATTTTAGGATCGTCTTTTTAAAGATCAAAATAAAACTTCATATATATATCAAGAGGGAAATCGTTGTGCGGCAGAGGTATCGGGATTTAAATCAAATGTAAACGCTGATTAAGCACAAACAAAAGGCAAGGAATGCCGACAGTAAACAAAGAAAGATGTTGTTTGATCCCGAGGGTTTAGACTTTCTGAAGCCACGTGAGATGACGTCTAATCCCACTCCAAAACTACGACTTATTAAACAATAAACTCTGGTTGACTTTCCAGGAAAACAAAACATCAGGCAATCGTCAGAAAAGTGACATAAATAACACGTCAAATAATGTGGTCGGGAAACTAGACCTTCCACCGTCCAACCAGAAACACACACAAGTGTCTGGCGTCATAAATTCACAGAAAGCGTCCGTATCAAAACACAATTATATAAAAATAAGATCACATAAATATCTAAACGGTTCTTAAATTAATATATCATAAATAGCGCTGTAACTCAAGTCAGCGAGGCGGTCGTTATTGAAAAAATAAATCCTGAGTCCGACACCGAGCCCCTGGATCCTCCTCAGCAATGGTCATTATTTTGCTTAGCAACAGTGTGTTATCGAGTGTTAACGACCTCTGAACTGTCCGAAGTGACCAATCAGAATGGAGTATTCAACAGAGCCGTGCAATTGAGTGGTGCAGTGACGAGTCCTAAAACCAGGAAGTGAGTCAGCATTTTACCACTTCCTGTTCCCTCGTCTCAGAGCCAATGGGATCTCTCCGTAGGATTTAGGAAAATATCTGGAAATAAGGTCTGTGGAGATTATCCGGCTGAACAAAACGTGCATTTATCAAACAGGTTCGTTTTCCACAGATCTTATTTTTTTACAATATTCCTAAATCCTCTGGAGAAATCCCGTTGTTTTTTGTCGAGGGAACAGCAGCTTCCTTCCGGGTAAATACGTCCTCCCTGCCCCGCTCTATAGAGCAGAATAAAGCTCCTGGTTGTTACCTTCTCCATGGTCCCGTCCTTGGAGGCTCCTTTCCCCCCCACAAACACCCAGGCGTCCCTGTAGCCCAGAGATTTCACCGAAACGCTGCCGAGCTCCGATATCAGCTGCCGGGCATCGTCGCTCAACCTGGGGGAAACAACACAATTTACGTAAAGATATATATACGTAAGTAACTGTAGGGCTTGTAGAGTTATATTTGTATTTATTCATGTTAGCAAACTATGGATAAGCTTAAAATGAGAATAATTTGGGTAAAACTGTGAGCTGGATATGGGGCCTGTTGACATGTGTTTTTGAGGACAAAGGAAGATGGGGGAAGGTGAGAGCATGTCCTGATTTGCATTCAACTTAGAACGAGCTACAGTGGGTTGTGATATTAAGAGAGGTCCCTTGGGTTTCTCTGGTGCTTATCAATAGTAGCAGTTAAGTGAATACTGTTCAAACAATACCTGTGTTTGTGTTTTATATTGATTTCTCTGTTTTATCCTTTCATAAATGTAAGGACTACAAATGGCTATAAACATTCTGGGCTGGTTGGAGTAAACAGGGTTGTATTGCTCTGTGGGGGAGGTGTAGGTATGCAGGCCTTGAGACCTTTTGTTGGAAAGTGAGCCTGTTTGGTTTCCTGCTGCGTTTCCTGCTGCGTTGCGTCTCCCAATGAGATGACCTGAAAAGATGACCAGCTGACCTAACACCAAACCCCTCCTTCTTACTCTGGTATATATCCGGTGGATCCCTGGCATTCGCTCTCTTCTTCACATGCTGCCCTCGGGTGAAAGTAGCTCTGCAGTATGCGAACCAGGGCAGGAGTAAGCCGGCATTACTCCTTAAGCATTACAATATAACTGTAATATATCATGTTGTATTGTAATGATTGTATTGCATTGTCATATTGCCATTAAAGTAGATTAACTGTTACTTTGTAGATATGGATTCCTTCCTGTATTATAACCAGCTTCATAGGAACGCGCGGAGATTTGAAAAGCGGATCAGATATCCCTTTAAATCTCTAACAAAATGGTGACCCGACGTCTAGAGATAACGAAGCTGAGGAAGAATTCAGACGCTTTCAAACATCTCAGACAATCAGCAGGACTCTGCAACTTTGCAAATAAGGTAAGCAGACGATGAAAGTCGCCTGTCTGTAATTGGATACGCTAAAACTTTAGGATTGTCTGTAGGCGTTTCACAGTGTTTTTATAGTTTAAATGGAATATACAATGCATATTTTACTATGTTAGGAAAGTTATATACAAAACGTAAACGTGGATCGACAGGTAGACGAAAGTCCTGCGTGACGTAAAATAGAGCAGTTTGGCGCGGATCTGCAGGTGTTTATTCCTGAGTGGCGTAGAGATGGTGCAGTTTGTGTGAATGCGAGGTTTGAATCCTGCACGGCAAAACCTGGAAACTCGATAAATCAGATCGAGTCGCCGTTTAAAACTGGGGTTTAAATAACAGACCAATGCTAAAAGCTTAAAGCCAGAGGTCTGTTATATATTAAACCAAGGTAGAGCGTTTCCCTTTGTCTGGAAACTTCTGCTGCTGCCATCTAGTGGCTGAAAGGGGGTATCACACCCTTGAAACTTCTGCTGCTGCCATCTAGTGGCTGCAAGGGGGTATCACACCCTTGAAACTTATGCGAGCTTAGAGTTTAATCATTACATTGCTGGCCGGTATTGAAGACGGGAAGCACGTTCCCAGTATATTAATTATAACTGATTTTGGAAAACTGGTACAAAACAATAAGGGATTGAACATTTTTTACAACGACAGCACCAGGAGATGAGTAAACTCAAGAATCTGTAGAGTGTAAATACATTGTGCAAAACACATTTTACACTCGAACTGTTTGCAAATGTAGACAATATAAATAAATGTTCAGAAAGAAGACATAGGCCTACACTTGATTCAAATTTCATTACTGTGATCCGATTGGTGTGCTCTGCAGGTTTACTATTGTTCGAAGTAACAGTGGGATTTAAAATGAGAGAAGATATGGAGATGTTCTTTCATAGTGTGTGGAATATGTGATGCTGGAAACATGTAAGTATTTCAGAGTTGTGTTGGGTAAATATGTAACAATGGATGAAACAATTTTTGGAGTGAGTTTTTGTAATATCATAAGTAGACATTAATTATGTTGTTTAGATGTCAGTTAACAACTAAGACAGATGGTATGATTAGAAAGAGACAGAGTGGAAAGGGTTGGATTTATTTAACATCAGTGTGCTAGACTTCTTATAGGTAATGTGTACCGGGACCTGGACTCCCCCTCTGAGTTAGAAAGGCTTTGATCCCGACCCTCCAAGCAGACAACGAGACCTAACCCAACAGGAGACTCCTCCTTCTCCATCGAACAGACAGAGAACCAGAGCTGAACCAACAACAACAACAAGACTACATCAAGACTGCAGCCAGAACTATCTCCACCTGAGGCATCCAGAACCAAACCAGCATGCTGACAAAGAGGCAAACTCTCATCGGTCCCTCAAACAGGACATGAAGTTCCAAACTGCTCCGCGAGATTTGGCACAATAGACATGAGAGCAGAATCCGCCCTCCATAAAAACAGCAGAGAGACTGTAAAGGAGGAGTGCAACAACAGTGGCATGATGGGGCTGCAGATGTAACTGGGCCAATGGCTGCCTACAAAAGTTACAGTGGATGGATTCAACAGCTGATGGACTGAAGAGAAGACAGAATCAGAGGAGTTGGCATGGTCGATTAGAAGTGAGGAGGCCGGGGTCACGGCTTGAGAAAACCAGGGGAGGAGAAAAGGAGAACGGGAATGAGTGAGTTACACATAAACACACTTATTAACGAAACGCACATTTAAATAACTTGAATTAACTTCATAAAGACAGAAGGATTTATTAATCATTTGGTAAATTAAAAATAGCAGTAAAGAGGAAACTATTAAAGTAAAATGATAATCATCCTAAAACACAATGACAGAGTAGAACCATATTCTTCAATATTTTCATCATGTTAACAATTCATTCTTTAAGACATTTTTATTCACGTGTGAATAAAGTAGTGATCTCATTGGTGACAATATTGATCACCATTATAAGGATAGTTTTAGGAACCACTCTATAGGACAAATCTTTGTTTGTATTAATGGCTAGTGCCAAGCACCATTGTGGCATAGTTATTACCAGACTTCGGTTTTAAATCCTTGATAAAGGAGGGAGTAATTGTTGCATGTTCGGACACCCAAGGTTCCACACACTGCTAAAAGACTTTAACATTGTTTTTTAAGTAGACCAGAATTATAATGAGCTATGAAATGCAGAGCGACACAGATCCTAGTAATGTTTTGACTCAAGATAATAGTTATGTACACAAGTTTCTGAAATAGATCATTAGACATTTTAATACTAATTAGGTGTAATTGGATTGCAGTAGTAGTGGTACTCGAAGGAAGTGAGTTTTTGTACCAAGTTCAGGAAAAGTGGGAGGCGGAAGTCCCAATGACAAGTGAGAATCATCTTGAAAATCATAGTTGAAATCGTGACATATTTTTGTAGACAAAGGATACTGGCCTATGCTGAAATGTCAAAGTCTCTGCAGAGCACGACACATGGCCAAAAAAGACGGAGACCAACTGACCTTTGACCCTGACCGACAGTGTAACTTGACAAGGCACTGTGGATGACTGACTCTGGGGTGGACCTGACCAAACTTGACATGACAACCAGACAGTGTGAGTGTGAATGAATGCCGGCATGTGATCAGTGTAACTGCATGATTCTAAAACAATAACTAACCAAGCATGTTTTTGGACTAACATATTATTTTGGAGCTTCAAGGGAAACGAGAGGTTTCCTAAAAATTCCACAAAAAGGGGAAACCGCACATGTGATATTTTCCTCTCACATGAGTTGGCGGTTTGCAAATGTAAAAGCTGAAGATTCTGTTTCTTTTAGGCCTGAAGGACGGAGAGGAACACTTCTTTTCACTGAAGTGTTCACTGTGGAAATAATGATAACAATGTTCGTTATGTCCCTAACCAATTACCTGACAGTTTTTGTTCCCCTCCCATTACAGGGTTTTGTTACACATGATTTCATGTGTAAAAGGGGGGAGTGAGTATAATGTATAAATGTTAACATGGCTGTAAAATTCACAATTTAAATTTTTCTTTTAAGGATTGACGGAAACCTTCCGCCCCAACCCAGATGTTCAAACTGAGCATTGAATGTAATTAACCTGCTCCATATCTGGGGATAAGATACTGTTTGATGAATGTTGAGATGTTTCTAAATATTGATTTGAATTATAACAGGTAACAAAGAAGCAGTGGCCAAGGGGCTACTGTGAAACCGAAGAAGTTGACCTGTGATAATGAAACAATTTTTTAATATTTTAACAGACATTAGAGTAACTGAGGTTTGAAATGTAGAAAGAACATATTACAGTTAAAGCTAAAACATAGTAGTGTATTGAGACAGAATTTAATTTAGACAACATCATGTAACTAGCCTGGTAAAGAAGTAAAAGCCATAGACTTTATTGTTTAGGTCATTATGAGGATATACATTTCATCTAAATTTAGAATAGAAAGACATTTGATGACAGTTTGTTGGAATTCTGTATTCATTTTTTCAGCGTGATAATATCTAAGCACTGACAGGTAAGAGCAGTATCACCAGGAAATCATTCACTTTGTTAGTATCGTGATTTTGGTTGTTTTTGAATCCATAACATTAGTGTGTTTCTTTGCCAGAAACATTAGCAGTTCATATTAGATTTGGATTTTAAATAGGATTTCATTTAAAAATAAACACGGATGCTGGTCAGAAATTCAGAGCTATTGAAATATGTTATTTAGTTTACCTAAAGATGTTGGGGTTCTTATTTAGTTGGCACAATCCAAGTATTAAGATTCTGAAGCTGCACTGGCAGATAGGAGGTCTACAATTAATTTAGAAAACCTGTTCACAGACGGCTGTTGTTTCAAGACACCCCACCAAGAGGCTCCAAGTGGGGCAAAACAGCTGAGCGTAGGCTTGAGGGAGTTGTATCAGATTTCTCCACACAGGTCGCTGGCGCCAAAAGGGGGACCCGAGAAGCACGAGGACAAAGTGGCTCAACCCCAGGCTCTCCGACCCCGACCGAGTGACCCAGCGGACCTCTTATGCCGTCTGCCTGGGAGAAAAGGGGGACAGCTCGTACCACGGGAGCCAGTGTGCGGCGGGGAAACCACCTACTAGGACCAGGGGACGACATCAGGACGGACGTGGCCCTGGCAGACGTGGACTACTCGGAAGCAGCAGACTGGAGGAGCAGGACCCTGGAGACATCTCTACAGCATCGACCCGGAAGCCGCCATCAGCGGGCCGGAGGACGAGGAGGAGGAAGACATCTCTCTAGCAGGCAGCCCAGAAGCTGCTGTCAGCGGATCGGGGGGACAAAGACACGGCAAGCCAGGACGGCACAGGGGACTTGTCGAGGCAGCAGAGGAGTCTACTTCGCTCTGATCAGTTCTACCCGTGAAGGGAAAGCTGCATCTCCCCCTCCCTATTAGCTGTCCTTGTGGGCTATTCCTCCGAGGGGGGGGGGGCTGATGATTCTAACACTCAGCTACCCCCTCATGGTTCCTTCACTGCCATGGAAAGTGGTGTTCTGTCTCCATGAAGGTTTCAAGTACTCTAAATACCAGCTTCGGATGGATTTATGGACACAGTAGAAAAGAATGACAGTGGGTATATTTCAAAATGCCATGTCTAAGTTTATCTCTGGAGAAGGAGATAAAAAGGGGGATTTGTAGAGTTATATTTGTATTTATTCATGTTAGCAAACTATGGATAAGCTTAAAATGAGAATAATTTGGGTAAAACTGTGAGCTGCATTTGGGGCCTGTTGACATGTGTTTTTGAGGACAAAGGAAGATGGGGGAAGGGGAGAGCATGTCCTGATTTGCATTCAACTTAGATCTAGCTGCAGTGTTTGTGAGGTTAAGAGAGGTCCCTTGGGTTTCTCTGGTGCTTATCAATAGTAGCAGTTAAGTGAATACTGTTCAAACAATACCTGTGTTTGTGTTTTATATTGATTTCTCTGTTTTATCCTTTCATAAATGTAAGGACTACAAATGGCTATAAACATTCTGGGCTGGTTGGAGTAAACAGGGTTGTATTGCTCTGTGGGGGAGGTGTAGGTATGCAGGCCTTGAGACCTTTTGTTGGAAAGTGAGCCTGTTTGGTTTCCTGCTGCGTTTCCTGCTGCGTTGCGTCTCCCAATGAGATGACCTGAAAAGATGACCAGCTGACCTAACACCAAACCCCTCCTTCTTACTCTGGTATATATCCGGTGGATCCCTGGCGTTCGGCCTCTTCTTCACATGCTGCCCTCGGGTGAAAGTAGCTCTGTAGTATGCGGACTAGAGCAGGAGTAAGCCGGCATTACTCCTTAAGCATTACAATATAACTGTAATATATCATGTTGTATTGTAATGATTGTATTGCATTGTCATATTGCCATTAAAGTAGATTAACTGTTACTTTGTAGATATGGATTCCTTCCTGTATTATAAACAGCTTCATAGGAACGCGCGGAGATTTGAAAAGCGGACCAGATATCCCTCCAAATCCCCAACAGGCTGCACGATATATCGTGTCGTGACGATAATCGCGATATGCGCGATATAAATTTTTTTTTTTTAATTAAGATATTAAGTAGGCAAATGAACTCAAACACGTCATGTTACAATTATTTTGCTGCTTGCTACAAAAGGAAAACTTGCGCGGCTCTCATGTCAGGGGAACTTGAGTGAGTGACAAGCCGGCTCTGCATGCACAGCCAGCCAATCACAATCAAATGTCCAAAGCAAACGGACCCGGTGATTAAAGGTAAAAACACTGAATAAAGGCAGTTTGGCGCTGCTAACCGAGCTAGCTCAGCTTGTTGCTCTGATAAACAGCTGTGGCTCAGTGGATAGTGTGCTGGACTTCGAATCAGGGGGTAGCAAGTTCGAGTCCCACTGCAGTCAGCATGTCGTGTCCCTGAGACCCTTCACCCCAAAGTGCTCCTGTGGGGATTGTCCACAGTACTGAATGTAAGTCGCTTTGGATAAAAGCATCTAACAAGTGACATGTCATGTAATGTAATGATAACTTAAGATCCAGACGTCCGTGCCTAAAATCCTTCATCCAGTTAAATATAGTTAAAAAAAGACCAATTGTATAGCATTAAAGTTCAAGAAAGGATGGTTTGCGGGGAAAAAATACTGTATTTTCTTCAATTCCAGTATGTTTTCCATCCATCCATCTTCTCCCGCTTATCCGTGGTCGGGTCTCGGGGGTAGCAGTTCCAGCAGAGAGCCTCAAACATTCCTTTCCCCACATCAACCAGCTCTGACTGGGGGATCCCAAGGCGCTCCCAGGCCAGAGAAGAGATATAATCCCTCCACCTGGTCCTAGGTCTACCCCTTGGTCTCTTCCCAGCTGGACGTGCCTGGAACACCTCCCTAGGGAGGCGCCCAGGTGGCATCCTAACTAGGTGCCCGAACCACCTCAACTGGCTCCTTTCGACGCGAAGGAGGAGCGGCTCAACTCCGAGTCCCTCCCTGATGACCGAACTTCTCACCTTATCCCTAAGGGAGACGCCAGCCACCCTGCGGAGAAAACCCATCTCGGCCGCTTGTATCCGCGATCTCGTTCTTTCGGTCATGACAGTATGTTTTCATATCGCAAAATATATGGCAGGGGGGAAAAAATCGCAATGTCAGTTTTTTCCAATATCGTGCAGCCCGAGTAAAGAGCAAGTATTATTATCTCAGAAAACTGACAGTTAAGCGTCTTTCTTTGAGGACCAGGAAAAGCGCTATAAAAATCCCATGTATTATTATTATTAATATTTCACGTATATGTTTCACTTAAACATCAACGTTTTTTCTCGTAATTTAATGAAATGAATGAAAGAAAAAATATTAACGACATTAACGGCCCGTCCACACGGCAGCGTGCGTTGCTTCAACGGAGACGCTTCCCACTCACTTTGAATGGGAAGCGTCACGCAAACTGCATTGCGGTTCCGTCGCTTCGCTTTGCCTCCGCTGCTCGCTTTGAAAGTTGAGAAAAGTTCAACTTTTCAAGCGTCGACGGAAGCCAATCAAATCATACGCCAGTACAAGCGCCAGCCAATCAAATCATACGCCAGTACAAGCGCCAGCCAATCAAATCATACGCCAGTACAAGCGCCAGCCAATCAAATCATACGCCAGTACAAGCGCCAGCCAATCAAATCATACGCCAGTACAAACGCCAGCCAATCAAATTATACGCCAGTACAAACGCCAGCCAATCAAATCATACGCCAGTACAAGCGCCAGCCAATCAAATTATACGCCAGTACAAGCGCCAGCCAATCAAATTATACGCCAGTACAAGCGCTAGCCAATCAAACCACGTACTTGTGTGTCCGGGGCGGGAGATTAATGTGATTGGTTGTTGGTCGCACGACAGACATGCCCACCGGCAAGCTTCAACACGATGACGTGTGGACGTACCGTAACGATGACTTAATTATACTTTTAAAAGACACAAATAGTTAATAATTAGGAGAATAAACTCCCTAATATTACATTATATATTATTAACTCAGAAAACAGAATCTGTAAATATTTTAAATGTTAGAAAATGTAATTTTTGGGCAAATGTTTTCCTTTGTTTCCCTCAGAATATCACACATTTGGAAACGGGTCCCACTGGAGCGAGGGTCGGAGCGGCTGAGGTGCCGCTTTCTGTCAGAGGAACATATTACTCACTTGGTGGCGGGCTCATCGTAGGACGCCATCAGAACCACGGAGCCCACCTCCACGCCCTGCAGCAGCGCCACCAGAGGCTTCACATCTGAAACACACACACCGTTACATCGCCTCCATTTCTTGCTATTAGAATAATTAGAGCTTTGGAACAGTTTGAATGGAGCTCAGGGTGTCCGAACGTAAAACTGTTTAAAAAAAGGTATAAGGATGAAACTGTTTAATCATGACTGGATGTTTACGATTTATTTATTTATTTGGTTTGTTCAAAAAATAAATAAATGTCAACACTACGTACCACCGCTGTACATATTGAAGAAATCTGTCTTCAATGTGTCTCCTGTCCGACCTGAGGAGGAGACACTTTGACGTGAGGGAGGAGACACTTTGACGTGAGGGAGGAGACACTTTGACGTGAGGGAGGAGACACTTTGACGTGAGGGAGGAGACACTTTGACATGAGGACGGAGACACTGATGGACTCACCGTTTATTATAACCACGTTTATTCCATTTCCAGCGTTATTCAGGACCATCCCCAGGATCCTGAGGACAGTTTGGGACAACGTTAGAGACACCGAGACAAAGACACCAACAGTTTGTGGTGTTGTTGAACTTATGACTCGCCAAAATAAAATAAGTTTTCAAAAGGTATTTTCAGCTGACGTTGATAGTATAAAGTCAACAGGGTTCTTCCTCTGGGGATCATGAACAATTTAAAAAGACTTGAAAGGAAGCAGGAAGTGTTTACGGAGGACGTATTAGGATGCAACACCTACAGTTTGTTCTGGAAGCAGATCTTTGGTGCCACGACGTTGGCGGCTCCGCTCTGAAGCAGGAAGCTGAACTGATCCTGAGGACAAGATCTCTGAGGGCAGGGCCTCACTGACAGGAAACAAACAACACACCCCGTCAGAATAAAGCTCACATTCACCCGGCTGACAGGAAACACACAACCACACCCCGTCAGAATAAAGCTCACATTCACCAGGCTGACAGGAAACACACAACCACACCCCGTCAGAATAAAGCTCACATTCACCAGGCTGACAGGAAACACACAACACACCCCGTCAGAATAAAGCTCACATTCACCAGGCTGACAGGAAACACACAACCACACCCCGTCAGAATAAAGCTCACATTCACCCGGCTGACAGGAAACACACAACCACACCCCGTCAGAATAAAGCTCACATTCACCAGGCTGACAGGAAACACACAACCACACCCCGTCAGAATAAAGCTCACATTCACTAGGACACACACAACACACCCCGTCAGAATAAAGCTCACATTCACCCGGCTGACAGGAAACACACAACACACCCCGTCAGAATAAAGCTCACATTCACTAGGACACACACAACACACCCCGTCAGAATAAAGCTCACATTCACTAGGACACACACAACACACCCCGTCAGAATAAAGCTCACATTCACCCGGCTGACAGGAAACACACAACACACCCCGTCAGAATAAAGCTCACATTCACTAGGAAACACACAACACACCCCGTCAGAATAAAGCTCACATTCACTAGGACACACACAACACACCCCGTCAGAATAAAGCTCACATTCACCCGGCTGACAGGAAACACACAACACACCCCGTCAGAATAAAGCTCACATTCACTAGGACACACACAACACACCCCGTCAGAATAAAGCTCACATTCACTAGGACACACACAACACACCCCGTCAGAATAAAGCTCACATTCACTAGGACACACACAACACACCCCGTCAGAATAAAGCTCACATTCACCAACCTAGCAGGTAGAATATCTCACCTTCAGGTGTTCCCTTCTTCTTGTTCTGACCTAACACCCGATGGAACTCCTCTGCAACACACACAGACACACACACACACTGAAATGCCTTTGTTTACGTCAAAATAAAAGCCCTATTTACTGTTTTTATTGTGGGAGGAGGAATGAACATTAAGAATATTATTAAATATAGAGAAAATGAAAAGTAACAAAGAAAGTGAACCTTTGATAGTCTGCACTGAGCTGCTGTACTGCTGCAGGGAGAGAGTGATGAGCAGGACGACCGGAACCAGCAGCAGACACCACAGAAACCACCCGAACACACACACACACACACACACACACACACACACACACACACACACACACACACACCACACACACACACACACACACACACACACACACACACACACACACACACACACACACACACACACACACACACACCACACACACACACACACACACACACACACACACACACACACACACACACACACACACACACACACACACACACACACACACACACACACACACACACACACACACACACACACACACACACACACACACACACACACACACACACACACACACACACACACACACACACACACACACACACACACACACACACACACACCACACACACACACACACACACACACACACACACACACACACACACACACACACACACACACACACACACACACACACACACACACACACACACACACACACACACACACACACACAGTGTCAGCCCGTGTTGTCTGCAGGGCCCAGGAGTTCAAAACCAAAAAACAGGATTAGGATCACTTTGATATCCGATCAGATCAGGAAATCCAATCCAAGCTTTAATCTGGATCAAATCGACCCAATTCCAACTAAGCTGTTGAAGGAAGTTTCTCCATTAATTAGCACTTATTTATTAAATATTATGAATATGTCTTTATTATCAGGCTATGTTCCACAATCATTCAAAGTAGCAGTGATTAAACCGCTTCTTAAAAAGCACAACCTCGATCCAGAGGTTTTAGCCAATTATAGACCTATTTCTAATCTTCCGTTCCTCTCAAACATTCTTGAGAAAGCGGTCGCAAAACAGCTGATTACTTAAAAAACAATGATTTATTTGAAGCTTTTCAGTCTGGCTTTAGAACACATCATAGCACAGAGACAGCTCTGGTTAAAGTCACAAATGACATTCTAATAGCCTCTGACAAGGGACGTGTCTCTATTCTTGTTTTGCTCGATCTCAGTGCTGCATTTGATACTATCGACCATGATATCCTATTGCAAAGACTAGAGCACTTAGTTGGCATACAGGGAACTGCTTTAGACTGGTTTAGGTCCTATCTATCTAAACGCTCTCAGTTTGTACGTGTCAATGATGAATCTTCCACGCAAACCAAAGTTAGCCATGGAGTGCCACAGGGCTCAGTGCTCGGACCTATTTTGTTCACATTATATATGCTTCCGTTAGGCAATATTATAAGGAATCATTCTGTAAACTTTCATTGTTATGCGGATGATACTCAACTATATTTATCAATCAAGCCTGATGAAATTAATCATCTAAATAAAATTCAAGACTGCCTTAAGGACTTAAAAACGTGGATGACCTTAAACTTTTTGATGTTAAACACGACCAAAACTGAAGTTATTGTACTTGGCCCGAAGAATCTACGAAACAAATTATCTAAGGATATACTAACTATGGATGGCATTAATTTGGCCTCCAGTGAGACTGTAAGGAATCTTGGTGTTATATTTGATCAGGATTTATCCTTTAACGCCCACATAAAATCAATTTCAAGGACCGCCTACTTCCATCTACGTAACATTGCAAAAATCAGGCATATCTTGCCTCAAAACGATGCAGAGAAACTAGTCCATGCATTTGTTACTTCAAGGCTGGATTATTGTAACTCTTTATTATCAGGGTGTACCAAGAAGTCAGTCAAGTGGCTTCAGCTGATTCAAAATGCTGCGGCTCGTGTACTAACCAGAGTTAGGAAAAGGGACCACATTACTCCTGTTCTGGCTGCCTTACACTGGCTCCCTATAGAACACAGGATATCATTTAAAATTCTTCTTCTCGCCTACAAAGCCCTTAATGGGCAGGCACCATCTTACCTTAAAGAACTCATTATACCCTACTGTCCTACTAGGGCATTGCGTTCCAAGAATGCAGGGTTGTTGGTTGTTCCTAGAGTCTCTA